TGTTTTATTTATAAAATCTAAATTTTCCGTGAGTATATTCTTCATTTTATTCAATATCAATAAGCTGCAAAAGTTAAGGAAATTAAACAAAATCCAAAAGAGGTTAAACTGTTATCATATCATTAAAAGAAAAATAAATCACTAGATTTTCTGGAAATTATAGATTGATATATCTTAAGTATTGCTAAAATTAAAGAATTGACAAAACTTCAAAAAATAATTCCAATTCACCTATTAGCAGACTAAAACCAGTGATTCCAGACAAACTGTAAATGACATTTTGATTAAGATTTTTCAAACTTTTAGAATAATCCTTCTGTGTTTAATCTAAATATGTTGGATATTGTAATAAAATCGATTTTTCAACATTTTTCACAACAGCATTATCAATATTAGAAACAGTCTGATTAATTAAAATTTTTAAGACTGGCCTAAATTCAAGTAATTAGTACACTTCGATTTAGGCAATAAATTCTCCAAAATTCACATCTGATCCAACATCCTATAATATATATAAGCTACTATTCCATTTATTCTCTTCTATATTTAATAATTGAAGATTTATTTTTTCTGATAAGGGTTAAGTTGTTTATATCTTTACTCTTTAATCAAATGATATGCTTATGTATTACTTATTTTAGGTCATATTGAGATAATTAATTATTAATTTTGGAGCTTTGACAAAATTACATTAGCTAGGAGAGTCTATTGTCATTGTAATGCATATCCAATTTTCTTCAATTAAACAATCTAAGCATCCATCCACTGCTTAATAATTTCCATCATCACATTCTTCTTATTCCTAAAGTAATCCATCTCCGCAGTTTATTTATTACATACATTAATTTGACATTAATAATTAGTATTAATTCTTGCACTCTAAACAAGTACCTTGATAACAATCATAACAATTTTCTGAGCAAGAATACTTGCAATTAAAACAACCATCTTAAGGTTGTAAATTGCCATCATCACAATCCTCTTCTTTTGTGACAATTTTATCACCACAAACTGATCGACAATTATTATTAACAAATTTATATCCATGTTCACATTTAAAAATGCATTATCCTCGATCACATATGTTACAATCTTCAATGCATTAAAACTTACATTGAAAACAGCCATCATATGGTTATTCATTGCCATCATCACAATCCTCATATTATTCAAGAATTATTTTATCTCCGCAATAAGGTAAACATATGTTTTCTTAATTTTAATATCCTACTTCACACTTTAAGCAAATTGATAAGTAGTTATTTTTACAATTTTCTACTGACAAAAATCTACAATCCTAACATCCATCCTAAACACCATTAACTGTCAGTTCACATTATTCAGCTGAATAAGAAATTAATTTACCATCTCCACATAAAGGATCACAATTAAAACTACTATTAATAACAAATCCATCTTAACATTCCAAACAAATCCCAAATTAACATATTTAACAAAAGTCTATGCATTTATATTTGCACAAATGACAAGAATCATTGGATAATTGATTTCCATCATCACATTCTTCTTAACCTTGAATAATTCCATCACCGCAAATTGGATAACAATTTTCCAATAATTCATCTTAAATCCAACCTTCTTGGCAAATCATGCATCTATCATTTATGTACTCTAAACAACCTTCATTCAAATTATTAAATATATTTTCTGGTTATGTGTAAAATACTTCAAAATCTCTTATCGAACTAAACAACTAAGATTATTCAGTTTTAATAATGAGTTATAATATCAGATCATTATGATTTCTAATTAATATTTCTATTTATTAGTTGGAAGAAGTTATTCTTTGTTCACCATATAAATAGTCTACTATTAAAACATTTATTGTTTTATAAAACCTTATTAATACATTTTAATGAGGAGGTAATTAAGTAAAATATTTTATTTCATTATATCTCAAAAATTAACAACTTCCACATAAATAAGAACCGAAATAAGTATAACCTGATCCAAAGGTCCATCCTTCGGAATTTGTGATCGATTTCTAATTAAAAGAATATGAATGCATTTTCCATTATTAACATAATGTATCATAAAAATCTATGCATTCAGCGCATTCATACTAGCATTTTAAGATACTTAAACTTAATGATATTAATCCTCCATCATATGAATCAATATATATCCAAACAGTTCTCCTGTTGTGTTACCGAGTCATAGAAATAGTATGTATATATTCTGGGTTTGTTTCACCACAAATTGAATTTTAAGATGATATCTCTGATACATAGTTTATTGATTAAGAATCAATCTAAAAATTAGGAGATTAATTGCCATCAATACTTTTATAATTTACAATATAATTACCTCAGAACCTTTGCATCCACCATAATATGAGAATGAGGTTCAAGATCCTAAAATATTCTGGTAAGAAGATAATTATTATTAAAATTTAATCCAAAATAATGAATTCCTCCACAATTAATGAAATTTTCATTATTTAATATTTCCCATCCTAAAATATATATGAGAAATTACCATCTATTATGTTAGAGCTTGCATCAAACTAATAAATCAGGGTTTGATGAGTTATATAGACTAAAATATTGAGTAGTATCATTATTGATGAGTATTAAGAAATGAATTAAGTTTAATTTATTTAATGAATTTAATGGACTAATTAGTATAAATATTAATGATATAAAATAAAAAGAAATATAGGAAATAAAAAAATACATTCATAATTCTCATTGATTTTATTAATCTCTAAACTTTCTCTTAACAATAATATAAATATTTATGATAAAAGAAATAAATTTATTAGTTTATTTGGATTGAATCAATAATAGAAAATATTTATACTTGTATTCACTATCTTAAATATAAAATAATTATAAGAATTAATATAATACTTATTTATAAAGTTTACAATTTTTACAATAAATATGTCAGTAATTTTGAACCATGTCAAATTCATGATTATGAATTATAGTTATACTGCTAAAGATTATTGTAAAAAATAGAGAATACACATTCTAGTAAATTCTTGATATAATTTGACTAAGATTAAATTTAATAGAGCAATAAGGGTCAATTTTGCTATTCTGATATCAAAATTAATCAACTCATTTAAGCAATAATTTTGATAATAAAAGAATTAAATCTGAAATCCTCTCAAATAGAAAGTCAAATCCTTCAAATTCTAGAGAATTTATTAAGATGCTAAAGAAAGTTTAAATAACTAATAATTTTAATTGTAACTCAAAATCAAAGTAAAAATACAGTATAATGCTGAAAAGATATTGACAAAATATTAAGATATTTTAGATTTCTTTTGGAACCTACATAAGTAATTGATACTTGATGAAATTTGATATCCTAATTTAGATTAAATGTGATCTTATTAATTAGACTATCAAATAGTTTTCTTCCATTATATTTGTTCATAGGATGAGTAACATCATCTTCAATTTTTGATTTGACATCGTAATCATTAATCTATTTAAGTACTGAATTTTCGCAGACATTATAGGAATTGGGGAAGAACACTGTTTGAGCGTTTTCTAAAAGGCAGAGTTTTAAAATATAATTTGTAATTTTCTTCTGATTGAGGAAGTTGATTAGTTGAAACTTTTACAATTTTTCTTTTGATTCGAATAAATTTCATAGTCACTTTTGAATTCTTTAAGCTAAATATATTGATTCATTATTTACAAGAGAGTTACACTGATTCAAAGCTTTTTATTACAAACAGTTTTATAAAATATTTAGAGAAAATCAATAACAAGCTAAGTATCAAGCCAGAATGTTCTAGGAAGGTTGAGAATTGTCGAAATTATTTAAAAATAACAATTAATAAATTTTAAAATTTTTCAATAATATATAGCTTATTCTATAAACCATCTAAATAAATCATGATAATAATTGTAATATAATTTTTTTGTCAATAATTTGAAAATAATTAAATTCATTCCTATTTAATTTTGATGATTTTTTATTACAAATTTTTTTTACCAAATCCAATATTTAAAATTTTGATCTTTTAAAAATAAAAAATTATTTTCTTAAAAGTCATATTATGATTAATCATAATATAAGATAAATCTGCTTAAATAGATTATCAGATTAAATTTTAACCTATTTTCAGAAATTAATTATGAAAGAGAAAACTTTTAATTAAAATATTAATTATTTAATTTTTATCGATATATTCTGCAATCTGATTTTATATTAGGAAAATATCTTCCATCTTTATAAAATAATTAATATTATGTTTTGTTTATTAATAAATTACTCAATGTGTTAATATAGAATTAATCAAATCTACATGATGATTTAATTTTTCATTAGATAAGAGTAGCAATTATTCTATTCTACCTTTCTTTGATTGATAAGATTTAAGCATATTGATTTATGAAGGCAAAAATACTGCAGTCTCCTGTGTCGTATAGTATTTATGTGTAGTGATTTCTCCACAAATTATAATCAAGAATATTAGACAATGACAGATTTATTATCTAAGATTGGAGGATTGTTTTAATCAGTCGTTTCTATTGTTGGACTAATAATAACTTATTATAATAAAGTATAATGTAGATTATCAAATGTATTTAGTTTATTTGAATATTTCCAATCGTCTTTATGATTATTATTTCAATATTGATAATGGTTAGTACAAAAGGCTCTGGATTAATTGATCCTTTGCATTTTAGGATCTAGATTCATCAAGATTCAGCAGAATCATAAAAAAGAGGAAAACACCATATAATTCTGATGCAATGAAATAACCTGATTAAGATTAAATCGAGAGAATCCTTTATTTAACGAACGAGTAATGAGAGTTTTTGAGGAATAAAAATAAATTATGAATAAATATTAGTTTAAAAGTAGGTAGCATTTTCTTCTTTGCAACTTTCTAATAAACTATATATTGAAGAAATCTATACTTAATCTTAAATAGTTCTTCTTTAAAATCTTTTGTCGAACATCAGATCCAAAATAAGATCCCCCTTAAATCAATATTGTCGAATTCTGATCCATTAAAGTTACATCTCACAAATGTTCCACCTATCAAAGAGGTATCCTTAATCCTAATGTTTTCCCAACTCTAATTACTTAGATCTGTCTTCAATTTTACCAATAAATTAAGTGAATTAGATCCTCTCTAGATGAAATTCTTTTCAATAGCTGTAAGGTGAACTAAAAATTTAAAAAAATAGACTATCTTCTCCTATTTAGCTATTTTAGTAACAAGTTTTTGTCTAATTTATTAGTAAGTTTAAAGCCAATAATCCTTCTTATTAAATGTGTGTTGACTAATATTGATAAGAGCATTTCTTATTTTATTAATGTTATTTTATCCTAATTATGCTAATTACTTTTGATTTTCTTGCTTTAAAAAAAATTCTAAAATGTCAGAATTATTTTGATTTCTTAGCAATTCTAATATCCTACTTAATATTTAGACATCAATGTCTTAAAGGAAGTTAAAATCTCCTATAAATCTTCCTTCATCTCAAATTAAAATTCTTGAAAATCATTAAATTACTCAAGCTCCTTAATTATTACATCGATAGCCATCTAAAATATTTCAAGATATATACTTTATATTTGCAAACATGCTTCTCATTTATCAGGGAAGCTTTTTAAATCAGCACTTAGATCAAGTTCCACAAGTATAAAAAGACCATCCTCTCATTCTTCAAAAGATAGTACCTCAATTAAATTTTCAAATTTTTTCCCTTGAGAGTTGTCAATATTATCTTTTCATGTTGGCTTATTGACTATCTTAAAGCAAAATCAATTCAATCTTTTCTATGAAATTAATAAACAGCACCAAGTTCCCATTTTTCAATTTTCTTTCCAATTTTTACTGATACCTATTCAACTTAAATTATTTGACCCTTAGTGAACATTAATGGCAAACTCTATTAAAATTTATTGTTTTATTCAGAATATATATATCAGTTTATAAAATAAAAATGACGCATTAATGCAGTAAAAAAAATAAGAAATTATGAAATTTCTTGAAAAAGTCTTAAAGAGAATTAATTTTATTATAAACTTTTTTTACAACCATTCTAAGAATAAAGAGAAATACCTAAGATTATTGCGTTATTTATTAAAAAATTTAGTTAAAAGTAAGAATTCGAAATAAACCGCCAAAACAAAAGTATTTTTATTGTGAAAAAAATTGATATACTTTGATTGATGAGTCCTAGCTTTAGCTTTTAATTAAATTATTTATATTAATTGTCTTAGATTAATTATTGATTTTTTTATAAAATAAACTTATCTTAATTTTTTAGGATATTTCATTTTTTAAATCAACTCAAGTTTTTTTTGTAAAAATGAAATATTTGTATCTTTTAAAGTTTGTGTATTTATTTAATGGATAATTAGAAATTAAGATAAGAAAAAAAATATATTTTAATTAATTGTTTAATTGATATTTCACTCTACATTAAGTTCTCCTCCAATATGCCTATTGGTATATTTATTTAATATTTAAAATAGTTTTATTATTTTATTGATTAACATTAAAAGAATGTAAAGAATTAGATACATAAAGAATACAAGTAAGCATGAAAATATGAAAAATTAAAGAGTGTAATAAATTTTAATTCTTGAAAAATCATGAATACTAGGATCTAATTTAATAATGATTAACTTAAAAAAAATTCATTTTTATGTCTCCTTAAAATAATTAATGAATTGCAAAGCCAAGTAAAAATTTCTAAATTTCATTAAACTAAGTATATAATAATAATTTTTGTATAATTTTCCTAACTTTTCCAAATATTACTCAAACTTTAAAGAAAGAATGCTTAATATGGGTATAAAGTAAATAAAAAAAATTATAAATTAATTATAGAGTCCTCTTGAAAAAGGTTGTTTGTTATTATTTATAGATAAAGTTATACAACTAAAAACTAAGTGACCTAAGAATCATAATCAAAATTTCTTATTAGAATCTTTTGTCGCAGACCATGTAAACTCGTTTTCTATAGATACATTACGTATTATCCAGAGAATCTTATAACAAAGACTCTATTCAAAGATCCTTCCTCTAATTATACTTCTTCTTCATATTCATTTGAATTCTTCTTCTTATATTGTTATTCTAATTCATGTGTATATGTTTTCCTGAATTCTAATTTAGTATTGATTTTCTTCTTGGTAACTCAAATTATTTTGAAATAGTTTTTAATGATTACAAAAAATAGCAATCTTTTTATTAGAATTATCATTGAAATCAACCTATATATAAATCTAATTAAGTTATATTTTTTATTAAATAGAGT